TTATGTATTTCTTGTTGACCCTCTGTTGCCCCCTTGTGCTAGTCTCCTTCTCCTCACTCCCTTCTAGATGCTTCCATCCACACCTGCTCCTTGTCAGCTCATTAGCCCAGTCTTTGTTCTGTCCCCCATATATACTCTCCCTGTACAGTTCCTCAGGACTGGTTCCTTGTCATTTCTTGATCCTTGTGTGTTTTCCCGGACATCTTCAAGTTTTTGGTTTTCTGTATTTTATTAATTTTTTTACTTTTGCCTCAGTTGCTACTTTTTTGAATTAATAAAACTGCAGGAAACCACTTCAGCTACCTTCTCTGCATTTAGGTCCTCCATAACCTCCACTCAACCTGACAAGTTGATCATAAAACTCTTACATTCTGATGACATTTTATAAACAGCTTCCCCATCTTTGTTACAAAGGACAAAAAGCTTTATCCCTCAACATTATAGCTTAGAGTAGAGTTTCTGTTTGCTGTAAATTTCAGCTGCAGGAAATGCTGAGTCATACTGCTGTCTGTAAGAATGTGTCATCCGTGATACTGTCTACGATTTGACCTTACAGAAGCACTTGAAATGCACTTCTTCAGTCTTCAGAACAAGGAATGTGACAAAGTCTTGTATTTCCTATATTTGTTGCAAAGGTGTGGACATTTTATTTACCTGTTCACTTGCCACACTTCACACTTGAAAACAAGACTCAAATCTCAGTTTTAGTGTGTTTTTGTGGTTCAGTTACAGAATGGTAAATATCAATTTTGAGCTTCGTAACGCAGTGTTTTACACAATTCTAAATCTGTTCTAACATTCACGCTAAAAAAAAAAAAAATGTGCAAAAACTAACATGTGCAGTTTAGAAATGAAAAGTGGAAAATCACATAACACAGGAAATGTCCAGGACACTCAGGACATGGATGAGGGAGGATCGGATGGTGGCTAACCAGAAAACCAACACTGTCAGCTGCACACCTGTCAGCTACTCATCTGTAAGCAGGTGTGCTACATGCTGATCTTTCTCAAATTTTTTTCCATTGGCTAATTACAAACTAGATCTAGTACAGCGGTATAGGCATAATTACTGATCATTAAAGGTATAGAAGACGATCTTTTATTTCTGGGTGGATCATCTAAATAATTGGTCCTCCTTATTGTCAATCATTCTGATTATATGTTTACGAAAGGCCGTCCTGTGTGCTCACCCCGTTAGCTGTCTTTTTCTGCGCATGTGCACTTTCAGGTGTTTATGTATCATGAGCTACGGTTTCCCGGATAGACACGTGTCAGTGGGCTGTTCCCACACTAAAAGACAATTGTTAAACAGGGTTTTCAGCCAGTGGGAACGGGGTATAACAATAATGAAGAACCCAGAAATTATTGAAAAAAAAACAACATTTACATAGAACTAATCTTCCCTTAAGTAATTTTCCTTTACCAGTGAAACCTGTTTTTTTCTTTTCTTTTATAGCTGTTGATTAATATGGCCCTATGTAAATTCAAATCATTAATAAATAACATAAACTGCAGCTTCAGCTATTGTAACACATGCCTGCATTGTTGGTCAGTTCAAGCTGCCTGTTTCAAACAGAAAAGCGGCAGATAACGGGGCACCTGTCTGATACACATAAATCAATGGGGTTGCTTTGGCTCTAATTGCAGGGCAGAATTACATTTTTTCTAATCTAGTCTGTCATTTGTATTACAACCAAAATGAGAAAATAGGAAAAAAACAAAAATGAAGTACTTCTTGATTAATTCAATCTTGAACCCTCTTAATCCTCAGATGGATATGTTCCCATGATGTGATTTGCTTCAGCACATCTGTCCTAATCCAAGCAGGCATTTGTTTCTGAATGAATCCTAATGTGAATGTGTTCTAAATTGTCGGAACCAACCTCATATTAGGCAAAGAGGGGTTAGATGGTAGGAAATCTTGTTTGTTTTATAATTTAGCCACAGTTTGTGTCTGCCTGCCTCTCACCTCTGAGCTAAAGTATTTAAACTGATGAATTATGGATGCTGTGTTGCAACTTTCATTAGGATGTTTTTGACACTTTGGAAAAGAAAGCACATTGTGGGAGTTTTTTAATGAAGGGGTTTGTTCCCCTTCATTTCAGTTAATTTCCCCCTGCTGCTTTAAAGATAGAACGGCATGTAATGAGAACAAGCATTTTGAAAGTGCTGTCACATCCCACATCTCTGGCTGAGCGGTCAGAGATTAGAGAGGTTGGTGGATGGGCCTGAGGGAAGCGATGATGGAAAGATCGGCGATCAATCCCCAGAACTGCTTTTCAAAGCCTCTTGGCTCTAGCTGCAAGAAATTCCTATCTATCTACCTTAGGTTCGCCATCCACTTGCAATCAAGCATTGTGACAGCCAGAAAGATTTGATATGACAGACATCGGTTTCTCCTGGGAATCTTAGTGTGCACAAGGTGAAGCATCATGATATATTTCTTTCTAAGCCTTCACCAATCTCCTGTTTAATGGTGCATGAGAACTCTGAAGTCCTAAGACACATTTAATAGGATCTCTCTTGAGCTGTTGGAGGGGAGAAGCACACTTTTCCCAGGGGCAAATGCACTTTGGAGTGATTTAAACACCTTGTGATGAGTTAAACTCAAGCATCTTTACAGCCAGAGGGGCCATTATCGACCTGTCAAAGTCCTGAATAAAGCAAAGAAGTCACAGAGAAAGATAAGTTAATCATAGAACCTTTAAACAATGACAGAGAGTGGGAAGTTGGTATAATGGTGTTTAGTAACAGGTTGCTGCAGGGCTTTATACCAAAACCAACAGTTTTAGAATAACTATAACATCTGATTAATTTGAAGATGATTGAAATTCAGCTGAGACTTCTTCAATTTCAGTTCATATTATTGGGTTATACTTGTAGACTCAGCCACCTCAGATGTAGACAAACTTTACTTATTTTTGCTCTGAACCTCCTGACCTGTTAATCAGGTACACAGCTATGGCAATATTACACTTGTATTAAAATAAGGTGAAACTGTTGCCTCAATGTCCTGCAGTGCTTAACACACCCTGTGTATCTTGATTTAGGCTGGCTAATGAACGTTAAGTTGATCATTAGCCAGATTGGAGACTGGGAATTAAGGAGGGTGTTATGTTTTACTGCCTTGTCCGACAAGAACTACCTTACCTGTGTTGTATATGCATGTGTTGCGCAACTTTAATATATTTATTGCCCAACCCGGTAGGGGTGCTAAATATCTTATTTAATTAGATATTATTTGGATTGTCATATATTTTTTATGAACACATCCATACTAACTGTGTGTAAAACAACAAATGAAAGAGGGAATTGGGCTAAAATTGTGGTCAAACAGATAATTCTGCAAGGATATGGAATAAATTCACCACAACTTCCATTCAAAATCTAAGATCTTATTAACAAAAATAATTCAGCTCCAAGTCAAATATTTTTCAGTTAAAAAATCTTGACTAAAAACTTTTTGAAACTCAACTAAACTAAATTACTATGTACAAAGAAGAATTTGAAAGAAAATTAGCTTTTAACTAATTAAGGACAACTGGAAGATTTTCAAACCAATACATAATTGCACATCCGTGTAGGGATGGGAATCGAAAACCGGTTCCTGTTCAGAACCGGTTCCGTATTTTTCGATTCCATGGCATCGTTTGGCAGCTCGCTGAACGATTCTTTTTTCGATTCCCGCAGCACCAGAGCCAAATGCGCCGGCTCTGGCGAGCACGACTTACGTCACGTTTTTTACGCAAGTTACGCACACGGCGTTCAGTAAGCAAGTACGACGTGACTAGGCAAAAAAGGAAAGCAAAAAAATGGCGCCACACCAAGTAAAAAGATCCAAAGTTTGGCTTCATTTTACAAGCGAAAAGGATGGAAAGAAGGCTCTTTGCAATCACTGCAAAGCTAGAATTTCAGTCGCGGGAGGAAATACTTCAAATATGCTGAAACACCTCCGCGCACAACATGGGATAAATATTTCTGAGTGCCGTGTTTTTGATGCCTATCGGAAAGAGGCTGAAATTTCTACCAGGACGGAAGGCAAGTCTGGTAAGTAGCAAGTTTTACATCACTGGCTATGCTTAATGTTGTTCCTGGTATATCATATCCCATTTCTAGAAATAAACTCATTTCCTACCTCTCTTAGGGGTTATAAGGGAGTGTGCCTTTGTCGTTAATCCAGCCCTTCATTGCTAGCATGTTTTTTAATTAGAATTACTGGTAGCTGGAATTCTTACATGATTCTAGCTGTTGCAGTGGATGTAACGTAACACGCTACAAAGTTGCTCCGCGGTTCAGGGAGGGAGAGAAAGGTGACGCTTGTTTATTTAAATCAGGGGGAGATGAGTTTATTTCCCAAAATTGTACAGTAATGCTTTATCATTAAACGGATGCCTTCTCCATTAGATTTAGATAACTGTGAGGAGAAGGGTAGCCTGGCTGGCTCAGAGGCTGGCAGCTCCTGTTCACTACCTTCTGTTTTCGTCGAGGCAGCCAGAAATAAAATGTCCCAGGTGAAGGTAGATGAGTGTCACCGTGCAATTACAAAGTTTATTGTTAAAGGTTTGCACTCATTTTCTACAGTAGAGGCCCCTGAATTTCAGTAGGTGAATGTGAGGCTGTTCTCAGGTTGTCATGGTAGATTGTCTAAATAAAATATCAAACTCATTCATTGTCATATATTCTCTAGGGAAATGACCATGGCTCTGAACCCAAAATACAAAGCCCCAAGCAGAGAAAGCCTAAGCAGCCATTTGATCCCTGCTTGGTATAATGTTGAAAAGGGAAATCTGATCTCTGAGCTGAAAACAGTGTCGAAGGCAGCAATCACGGCTGATGGATGGACAAGTTTTAGTCAGGATCATTATCTCACAGTTACTCTGCACTATGTGAGCAATGGCCAGGCAAAGGAAAAGGTCCTAAAACCAAAGCTGTGTACCAAGCTCAAACAGGCTCAGCTGTAGCAGAGGAGATTGATGACATCTTAGAGGAATATGGAATACGTGAAAAGGTTGTGGCAGCAACTGTTGACAATGCAGCCAACATGGATGTAGCCATCAAACAGCTGAGCATCCTGAAATTTCCATGCTTTGCCCACACGCTCAATCTGGGAGCGCAGAAGCTGTACAATTGCACAACAATTTCAAATTGGGCAGCACGAGTTCGAGCAGTGATAGTTTGGATGAAGAGGTCACACATGGCAAAAGTTGTTCTAAAAGAGAAACAAGGCCTGCTCAGTAAGATACTCTCATAACACTGCAATATATACATGAAAATATAGATGTATAGGTATGTGTACATAAATCATTAGATAATACATATTTACATTGTGTGTATGTTAACCCTCAGAGCTGCCCAAGCACATGCTCCTCCTGGATGTAAGGACCAGGTGGAATTCCCTGTATTTGATGATGGAGAGATTCTGTGAGCAGTTCCCTGCTATCCAGGCGGCAGCCATAGACCCACGTATACGAAAGTCCATGGAGAAGGAAAGGTGATATTTATTTGAATGATAATATAGCTTAAATTTGTTTTAAACTGGTTTTGTTGTTTATTTATGCTACATACATCCTTTTTCTGTTTTTATGTCATTCTTTAGGTTAGCCAAAATAGGCAATGAGGACTTGGGAAAAGCAGAGGCCTTTGTGCAGCTCATGCGGAAGCATTACACATCCACACTGGCTGTCTCCAGTGAGAAAAGTCCAACCTGTGGGGAGATTTTGCCCATCTTGCAGAAGCTGGAGCAACAGTACACTGTGCAGGAAGGTGAATCTGCTTTCACAAGGAGCATCAAAGAGAACATTTGGAATGATCTCTCCAAACGCTACCAGGCAAGCACAGCTACATTTAATCTTATCTTGACACTTTAGGCAAATTTGCATAATCCTAAACAAAATGTGTGATGTCAGAAAAGTAATGTGACCTTCCATGTGACATTATTCATTTAAGGGTGAAATGAAAGAACAATAGTAAACTATTCAGGATGGTCTTATGGTCATCCTGTTTCTTGGTCTGTTTTCTGAGTTTACAGTGTGTTATCGCCATCTAACTGGTCATTTTTGTTAACGGCTGGGTTGGCATTTTGTATCGGTTCCTTTTCCTGCTGTGTTCTCTTTTGGCCATTTGTCTAATACTATCCTGTCCTCCTTTTTGAAATTGAAGGGAGCTGATATTCGGAGATTCCTGGAGGAAGCCACCATTCTGGATCCCAGATTTAAATACAAAATTAAAAGTGATGAAGTCTGGGACAGGATCAGGGAAGCTGCAATTAAAGGGAATACAGTGGAAGCAACAGATGAGGTATTTTATTAATTTCTGTTTCAATTCTGTTTGTCTTTTGATTGCATTTGATTCCATTGTGATTGAGACCTTCTACGGCTCTGTGTGTTAAAAGTTATTGATGTGTTTTAAACACAATGTTTACATCAATTTTCAAGCTCCCTGAAGAAGGCTGCAAAGATGGGGAGGAGGAAGAAGAAGAAGAAGAAGAAGAGGATGACTATGTAAGTTGGCTCATATATTTGTAATGACCTTTGGATGCTGTTTTGTCATATATTTTATTTGTTATTTAACATCATGCTCATTTAAATTTAGGCACTGCCACCACCATCAAAAAAGACAGCCTTGGAAGAACTGTTCGATGAGGATGAAGACGAGCTGCGGTCAATTTGTGAAACAAAGCCTGGTCTTTCCTTAGCCCAGAGGGTAGATCAGGAAATACAGCTCTATAAAGGCTTGCCCTCCATCCCCTGCAGGGATAGCGCCACACTTTGGTGGTGGAACAAGGAAGATACGCTGCCCTTGCTATCTGGACTGGCTGAAAAATACCTCTGTGTTCAGGCTTCCTCCACCCCATCTTAGAGGGTGTTCTCTACGGCTGGAAACACCTTAAGTGCGGAAAGATCCCATATCCTTCCAGAAAAGGCAGATATGCTAATCTTTCTGCAAAAGAACTGTTAATTTTCCCTTTTACTAAGTTATTACGTTTGTTCTTGTTCATTTTTCATTTAAAAGCAGATGTTACTCAAGTTTCACATTTCCTGTGGACATCTTTATCTTGTTGAGTTTGTAAGATTGTGCAATAGTTTAGTAAACAAAGTTGATGCTGATAATCAAACTGTTTGTTCTCCTTTTTTCCCCAAATTGGAATCGAAAAAAGAATCGATAAAGAATCGAATCGTTTCATAGAATCGAAAACGGAATCGGAATCGTGAAAATCTTTTCAATTCCCAACCCTACATCCGTGAGATGAAAAAAACATTATTTGGCCAAGTAATATCTTATTAACTGATTTGCTTGATCAGATATCAATCATCTTTACTTAACTGATTGTTAGTTTCTAAAATGAGAAAAAACATTAACATTATATTGTTTACACTTTTAGGGGTAGTGGCGGCCTAGTGGTTCGGGCATAGAGCTTGGAATCCTGAGTTCGAGCCCCACTCCCACAGACTGCCAATCTGGGTTGCTGAGCAAGACCTTTAACCTCCCATTACTCCCCGGGCACCCCAGGATGGCAGCACACTGCTCCCCAAGGGGATGGGTTAAATGCAGATGTAAATTTATCCAATTTGAGATCAATAAAGTAAAATTATTATTAATTATTATTAGTGAAATAAAGCTTGTTCTAGCTTTATAACAACTCAAAACATATGCTGGTGAAGGTTCTCGGTCATCCAGGTCATACAGTAGTTATTTCAAAAAAAGAAAATGAAAAACCATCCACTGCACTTTGTTTCCAAGTTTGAAGACGTTTCGCTTCCCATCCAGGAAGCTTTATCAATTCAGACAGTTAGATGGGTATGGGTTATTGCAGTCTTACAAAAGAAGCCAAACGACCCCCATTCCAAATGGGTGAACCCCTTCGTCTGTTCCAATTTGCATCTTTTCAAAACAAAAACAAGGCTTTGTTGGGCTACTGTATAAAACCTCGAACTCAAAGCTATTCCTGACATTTTGAAGCGAAACACCTTCAAACTTGGAAACACATTCCAGTGGATTGTTTTAATTTTGTTTTTTTGGAACTCAAAACATATTGCTGTAGCATACCGTACTTTGCGATCCGTCCTGTTAGCTTTGTCTTAACTCATCAGTAAACACATGAAATGATCAAAATCATCAAAATATAGGTTTTTTAACTAAAGGTTGTCCCTAACTTTGCCAGACCTTATACATCTCTGCATGTCCATGTTTGGAAAATTATTATTTCCTCAAGCAGTTAGCAGCTTAACATGGCAGCCTCACAGGAAGGGGGGGTTCCTTTGATCCACGTGCCACGCACCAAGGGAAAAGCTTCCTGAGGAGACTTTCACCTCCTGTCCAGGTCTGTAACGTCTGAAACTCAGAGAATTGTGTTGCAAAAGGTCTGTTTTGCAGGAAGTTGGTTCTGAAATGTAAACCATTCCAACTTTGCCTTGGTTATTCTGGAGATCTAGGCCTTGGGCCTAGTGCCATGATAATGTGTCTCTGAATCCCCCAGCAGCTTCCCAGAAAGAGAAGGAAATCCTGTGTCTTGAGCTGTTTTAGTCTTCTCAAACTCTGTGGGCGGCCAAGGCACACCTCTGTGGGAGGTGTCTGGTAGAGTAGGTTGGGAGAAGGTTTGCAGAAGCTTTGATAGGCCAGCAGCACTGTGGAGTAGAACTACACCCTAAACTCCAGTGAAGATGTTAAGATGAAACATGGACATTAGGCCTCAATGTCCAAAATTATTTTCATGGTTCAATGCCCAACACATGCATGATTTTTTATTTCACATCTCTCATATTGCATTGCATCCCTTTCCACTCTAAAGCCAGTCATTTTACTGTACAATCAGTCTATCAAGGTCTAAGATGGCATCACTGTGACGCTATAAAGAAGCATAAGCTTTTTACTTTTGAAAGCTTTGTAACATTTTGTACGCTGAAACCAGTTTTTAAATGTGTGAACAATCTCGTATCACCACCATTCTCTGCTGTTATAGTCAGACTTCAGGGCCCACTTAGACCATCCACTTGAGCCTCAGCCACTGGGGGCTGTACAATCCCACTGCTCAGGACATTTTTTGGGCAGTCCAGTTTGTCTTCCGACCAGGGTCACATGCAGGGCCCAAAAAATACTGAGGTCAAGAGTGAATCACTTCTAGGTGGGTTCAGCGGTGTCAGGTCTAAGCACCTAAAAAGTCATACATGCATACAGGGAAAGAAAGAAGGCACAGAGACAATTAATTTAGTTACTTGTGAGGAGAGTAGGAAGAGACTGTGGAGTTTACAAACTCTGCAGTCTTCAGCTTTCTCCTCGCTATTTATTGAAGAAAAGGGGATGTCCCTAATTACACCAGCTGAGGTTTAACTAAGGGAAAGGGAAACAAAAGGATCTTACTTTAAACCTCAGCACATATGTTAAAACAAAGCATGTGGTTGTTTTACAATTGAATTGGTCCAAGAACACATGTTTAGAAGAAACATGTGATAGAGGATGTTCAGGCCTCTTTCACAACCCGTCCGTTGCATGACCTTTATCTGGAACAATCTTAAGCAAGAGTTAATAAAAGATGAGTCACACATTATACATCATAATAGTTCATTAGAACACAACCCATGAAACACAAACGGAGTATAAATAAAATATTTCTAACAAGCGGTGTGCACCCTAGAAAACGTTTTTGATTCCTTCATTGAGATCTTGCAATTTTCAAAGTTTTAAGGAGCAAAATCATTCTGACTTTTGAATGGGTTCGGCGGTGCATTTTTCTCTGTTCCTCTTTCCCTGCCAGACATTTCAGACATTATAAAACTTGTAAACTTGATCTTTATGATGTTTAGCAGTTAAAAATGTGTCACAAAAGACATTCTAGTAAAATTGAAATAAGTTGCTTCATATTTACTTCAGTTTTTAAAATAGATACCCAGGACCTATTACATTATGATGTTGATGATGGTGCCTAACCTGTTCAGGCTTGTTATGGGAAGCCAGCTTTTTGGAATACTTTTTTATTATCTTACACAAAAAATTAAGTGTTATGCAATAAACTTTTGACTTTTATAGCAAAAACTGTTCACTGCTACAGTATTTTTACTTTTATAGAACCTGCTCTCCCTCTATCTCTCTCCTCACTGCCTCTCTTGTTGCTTGGCCAAAAGCTTGGTTCGACTCAGCTTTTTCCTCCTTATCCTCTTTTCCCTTTAGTGAAGAATATCAACCCTGTCAAATACTAAAATGATAGTAATAAGGAACAGTATGCCATTTCAACATTATGTCTCAAGACGTTTATTAGCACTTTCACCACTTCAACATGAAATCAAATTAAATAAGTTTTTGCGGGATCAGGAGCAGCTTTATGTCAAGGTATGAAATGGTAAAAATAGCTGTAAATAAGTTGAGGTATAGACATGAAATAAACAAGATAACATGTGCACATTCAAGCAATTATATAAATACATAAATAAAGGAGTATACAACATTAAACAGTTGTAAATAAAAATGGGGCATTCTGAGGGTTACTAACTGGATGTTTAATTTTGTTTCTGTGCACAACTTCCTGTCTGATTTGCTCCATGCCGTCTTGCTGTGTTGTGCTTTAGCATTCGGCAAAAAGAGAGAAGGAAATGCTGTGGAAGAGAACAGGTTCTATAAACAATATGGTAAATGGCCTTTACTTATATAGCACATTTTCAAGTCAGGAGACTAGAGGTAGACCAAAGTGCTTCAACTACATTCACGCATTCATGCACATTCACAATCTGACAGCGGAGAGCTACATTGGAGCCAGAGGTCTCCTTGGTCACACTGACACAAGCAAGGCTCTCATAGACTCAGCGCTACTTGGTCCTCTGGCCACCCTCAGTAAAAAATAACAGTAAAGAGTCTTGCCCAAGGACACAATAACTGAGATGGATGGAGTAGGTGTACTTTCCACTCAGCAGTTGCAAGACGAACATTTGTATCCTACAAAACAGTAATAAAGTGCTGCAGATGACAGCACCAATAACTCTCTCTGCTACAGCCATCACTGTGCATTTCATTGTTGAACATGTTCTACAAAAGTTTTTTTTTTCCAATGACCAGCAACACATCCCTAAATCAGAAAAGGAGGAGGTTACAAAAAAGAAGATGGGGAGGAATACAACCTACAGTGTGCTGTTGATTCATCTACAGAAGTCAGTTGGAAAGAGTTTTCAGTCAAAAACGATGGTACCACCTGACTAACTGTATTATTTCTGTTTCGTGAAGAGGGAAAATTCAGGTATCCGCTCAATTAGTGGTGAATGAGAAGCTTTTTTTTAAGCAAACTAGTTTTGATGTTTAAAAATCAATGAAGTTGTTTTATATTGAGGTTTAGCATAGCCAGGCATTATGAGCATCAGTGTAGCGTCAATTTATTACTTATTTATAAACTTACTTTACATTTACTTAAGCAGATACCACAGTCAAACAATGTAGAAACAGCTTGCAGCAGGTAGCAAGTTATTTCTGACCCTGTGGCAAGAGTAGAGTACCTTTCTAGAGAAGGAAGGTACTAAACAAATGACCAATAAATACAGCATTTTGAAGACTTTTAAGAAAAATAATTTTGATAACCCAGTCAAAAATGGAGATTACATTTTCCTGCTTTGGCCCTACTGTGACAGGACTTCAATAAAAGTTTTTATTCCTTCATTTATACCCTACAAGTACTAAAGATTCCTTCCTGGAAAATAAATACTGACTTTGAAAAGTTATAAGACTGATTCAAGGACAATAATCTAATAATACTGTATGTGGTTTCCTTTTCATTGCAGGTGAACCAAAAAAAAGCAACAGTTAAATAAATTATGAGGAAAGCATAGTTATTATGATATATGCAGTACCTATACTATACCTAAACTATATATATTGGGGTCTCTAAAAATGTTATGTTTCCTTTCTTGAAAAGTCAAATTTTATTAATCAAATGTGTTGCAAAATAAATAGAAAACTGTCAAGCAATTTTTTCAGTAGAGTCAGATGGCCGCTCATTACGCAGCTGTCTGGTCCCAGAACAGCTTAATAGGGTTAAGGTCTGGTGACTATGCTGGCAGCTCCATTAAAGACAGAATACCAGCTGATGTATCGTCCCTAAATATTCTGTATAGTTTTGAGCGAT